GTCCTGGCCATTCCATGGAAGGGAAGTATGCCGGAGGAATGGTGACCAAGGTCGTTGGTGGTGGTGCTCCAGCTGCCGAAAACCAGCCGAAATTCGCCTTCCCAACAAGGAGATGTTTAGTCACGAATATTAATGCAAGGACGGAAAGTCAAAGACTGCGGACGCTGTTGGATGCTTGACCAAAGAGGCGGAGCTGATGGATGCTTGACCAAGCAGTCCCATTTTGGGAAACACTCTACCAATGACCGGAGAGGCCTCTACCGACGAGCTTGCCTCTAGTAGACGGAATGGTTACTGTCGACAGCCCAATATAGCTCCGGTAGGTGACCTCGGCGATCTCTTGGCCGATGTTGGCTTGTTGCACTGTATTAATACACGTCTTTCTCTGAGCTCTCTACCAATCGTATTACATTACATGGCTGTACCCGAGTGAGTAGATTCCACGCTACGAGGTAGCCCTCAGCATTCTTTTTATAGATTTGTAACGGGAAAGTGAACAGACCTGGGTGCCTGTTTCCGAGGTGCTGTCGGCCGCCTTGAGGTTCCAGATCAAACGAAGAACAATTTGCTCGGAGAAATCTCACTCACGAAATCTCAAGGATGTCATCACTACATGGATTCACCCCCGAGTCGTCATCCATAATAGTCACTTTGTCCAGTTTCATCATCTGTCGAAATAGAACGAACCGAAACTTTTGGACTTCTTGCGGAGTGATTATCGAATTCAAATGCGTGACGTCGATAGTTGTTCGGTTATGCAGGCAATGCATCACGAAGCAAACATAAACCCCACAATCAAATGTATTGATCTGGTATGGTTGATTCTAATCACGCGGTTCAGTGCCAGTAAGTTTATGATTGAATTGCCCCACCCTAGGACACGGATCAATGTCCCACTCCAGCCAATCGATAGCGCTTCCGACGCTGATCAGTAGTCGCTGCAACCATTCTTTGATAATCTATTCCTGAGATCAGCCAGCGACATACAGATGCAAGGCCGGCCTACCTCGAAAATACGGACATGAGGGCTTCGCTGCCAGTCGTTGTCCGGAACTCTTGTTTCCAGGGAATCGTAGATGGCAAGGGACTTCCCGAGGAAATCTACAAAACAGCATACCCAATGATCCCTCAGGTGAATAGGAATGATTATGCATTTTATTTCATGCTCGTTAAACCACTGGGGCAATTGAGCGATAATTCAATGGGTAGTAAGATGCGCTCACTCTTCGTGATCCACGAAGGACGCCGTGCCAATCGAATTCCTTGTCCGCTTTGGTCGGCCTCGAGATAGTTCGCAATAATTGCACATAATGCCCAGTTGGTAGGACTTTTGTGATCGCCGGCGACTCGTCATCAAGCAGCTTGACCCAGGCATTGATCACGGAGCCAGTGAGCCATCCATCAAGGGCCGAGAGCTGGTACAAGTCTTGTACAAACAGCTGCCCGTTACTGCTCACTAGTTTCTGCCGATTTGCGAGAAGTTTGAGGCAGAAATCATCTGCCTTATAACAGTATTGGGTGAGACAGACTTCAAAAGCGGAAAGAAGGAGAGACGAACCAACATCTTCATAATTTTGAGCCTCTCGTCATCAGGGATGCGATTCCAAGCCTCCTCGGGATTTCGTTGGGTGGCAGGACTCTGTAAAATGTTCGCATGCTTGTCGGCTGGCTGCTTTCACATAGGCAGTGAAATTATTTCGAACGAATCTTAGCTTACTGGGCTTCTCGCGACATCAACCTCTTCGGGGGCAATCCAAGATGGCCTTGGAGCATCTACAAGGCCAGACTCGATGCCAATCTTGTGTTCGTATACAGACAGCTCTCTAACTCGGCTATCGGTGAAGGTAGGAGAGGCACGAAGGGGTCTGCCCACCTTGGCCGTGTCAGACTTTTTCGGACTGTTCGCAGCGGTGGGATTCTTTGGCCTTGAACGACGTCGGCGGCTATACGCCTGGGAAGAGAAGGTGTTTCCACCCATCGGAGGCTGGCAGCCCTGTTGATGCGTGGGGCGAGACTGGCTGGTCGACGGCGGCGGTGCTGGAGCGTTGCAACCAGAGGTAAAGTTTGTGCTGGACGGATCCTGCTGGTGAGCTCCGGACTGAAATGCACGTAACGGTGGGACTGTGTCGGCGTCGGTGCTGGGATTGGTCCCGAGGTTTGCACCGGACGGAGAGCCCCCCTCAACAACAGAAGATATGGACTCGGGGTAAGGAAGAACTTCGGGTGGAACAGAGAGGTCGGGGTCCGAGCGCTGGCAATTGTTTTTTGTCGAAGGTGTCGCATTGCCACTGGGAGCATGTGGACCAAGTGACATGGCCGCCTGGATCTTCGTTAATTGGCCACTTTGCTCCTGAGCGGACTGCAATTCAGATGACAGCCGCGCATTTGCTTGTTGTATGTCCCGGATCTGGGTTTGGATCAAGACATTCTGCTCGATGAAACGTTTGTTCCACTCAGCGTCCTTGACGGCCAATTGACGCTCCAGATACGTCTGCATCGCATTCCAGTCTCTTTCCTTTTTTATGTGCTCGCGATGAATATGCACAATAACACCCTCAGCAGCATCGAGTTTGTCACACACGTCACTGTACAGAGTCTCCAATTCGTCGAGTTGAAGTTCTCGTTCGCGAGGGTCTGCGTGGTGCTAAAGCAACGGAACCAGTAAGAGATCAAGGAGCGGGGTCAGGGTGGATACGGACCTTCTGCTCCGAGGCGCGCTGGACGTCGCATTCGACGTTAGTTTCGGCCTTGATGAGATAGGTGAGCGGGGCCGAAGACGACGTTGAGACTAAGGTACCTGGTCGCCATACTGTTCGTTGGCGCGGGCAATCTGTCAAACAAGTTTGCATTGAGTGGGGCTGGTATCGAGTTCCTATCATACCTCATTGGTGAAACGAGAGTGGTCGATCTTCGAGGGCAGTCAGTAATGGCAGATAGACCCAAATGTGGCCATACGAATTTACGCGTCGGTTCATTTTCCCGGTGCGGAACGACGTGCACCTTGGTGACACGAGTGAGTTCACCGACGCTCTCCTCGTCCCCGGCGCGTCGTTTCCGCAGTCCAGATGTTTCAGGCGCGTCGCCAAGGCGGCGGCGGGGGAGTTCTGTTATATCCGCATCTATGGCGGGATCGTTCCCCGCAAGGGCTACACCCGTCCCAGCCTGCTATGGCTGTCTTCAGCAAATGTCAGAGATGCGCTGCATCGTGGATGCTCACCGCTTGAACACATGTCTTCTCATATTGCGGCGGGGCGTGCAGAGATGGGCAAAAATCGGATTCGTCCGAAGACTCGAGGGTCAAGCAATGATAGTAACGACGTTGTGCAGTGTCCGCATCTTCATTTGCAAGGTGTTCATTCTTCTTCGAGAATCCAATCTGAGACAAAGAAATTTGGAATATTAACAAGACAACGAGATTGAATCATACGCGTCGCATGGTCAATGGTTGAGCAGTCGGGGATGGCAAGAGAACCAGCTGCTTAAGAGGAATTTTGTAAACTCTTGGCCTCACAATGCCAGTTGGGACTCTTGGAAAACAAAGAGTTAGCTTCGATCAGCATTGCCACATCCCGATCTGGAAACGCCAGGCTAACGTATTCCCACCCAATGGTATAGTAAACACCTTTGACATCTACCGAGCTCGTCGTCCGCATGAGCCGACAAATGCGCACAACGGTCAGGCGCGGAAAGGATACTGCCTCCCCACGCGATTGAGTTTGAGAAATTGCCGCATGCCATCGACAGCATGCAACACTCAAGAGATCGGCAACTGAACCGGTCGTACACATTCCAACAGCAGAATAGCGCCCTGATCATCAATGCGCAGACCGTCTGGACCGTAGAGAGGATAGTGCTCTCCACGCGATTAAGACTGGAACCGCCGTACGCAATCGCAGACTGCGGACAGCACCTAGGGATCTATAGGTGAACTTGTAGCACACATTGCTGTAGTACACTAAGTGGATATAGTGGCGGCTCAGACCGTCTGGACCGTAGAGAGGATAGTGCTCTCCACGCGATTGAGACTGGAACCGCCGTACGCAATCGCAGACTGCGGACAGCACCTAAGGATCTATAGATGAACTAGTAGCACACATTGCTGTAGTACACTAAGTGGATATAGTGGCGGCTCAGGCAGAATGAGCCAGGAGGAAAGCTCGTTGCTGTACTGAGTGTCAGCAGGCGCAACGTCGCGGATGGTGATCGCAATCTGAAGAGAATGAGGGTGAAAAGAAGTTGATCGGGCAGCAAAAAACACACGTACGAAGAGCTGGAACGCGTGCAAGTTGGATGGCGGGCTGTGAGGCGATCTAAAGGCAGGACGAGTGAACAAGAGTTGAGCAAACAGCAAAAGATATGCGTACGAGACTCGACGTGCGTCCCGCTCAGAGAATATCGGCCTACAGTAGTATCGCAGGCTGTAGTCGGGTGTAAGAGTCTGGAGGCATACAAGTGAGCTGAGATCGATGGAATGAATTAGGTACACGTACTGATGATGACACCTTTCGAGTATTGCAGCGGAGGATCTAGTCCCCGGGTGACCCAGGGTCACAAATCGCATCTACAGCATCAGCAAGTGAGACTGGCGATCCGGGACGGCATGCGATGTGGAACTGACGCATTTTAATGGCGCGAGAAGGGAATGGCGACCAACGGAATTTTCCACAAGACCGACGCAAAGTCTGGTCAGAGGCGCCGTATGGCCGCCCAGGGTCCATGGGTCCGGGAAGAATTAGCGCCACAGAACGGAGGAAGAGTCGCGAGCTTAGGACTTGGAGACAGAAGTAAACAATGGCTTAGTCACTGAAGAGCTGGTCACGCTTTTTTTCACGTGAATTTCCAGGTGGCTGTGTCCGACGTCTCTTAGTGTAAAGGAGATGCATGCGAAAAACCGCGACAGTCTGAGGTGTGTTCGGATCTGGGCTGTTTTTGACATCCACTTTGCTACTAAGTAATGGATGGAATTATCCTGCAAAAAATCAGGAACAAAAATGGGAACATACCACCAACTCGTTTCGATCGAGTGACCTCGAGGTCATATATTCATAAGGGCCCCGTGCGCTCCCGGCTGCGCCATGGTGGACTACAGCTGAAGTTCATTGGAGTGTTATTTTCATCAAGCAACGTACGAGCTTACACAACTCCTTCAATAGAACTGAAAAAAAAAACACGTAACCTAGTTATACTAATACACCAGGGTTGCCGTACAGCCACTACTTACATTTTACGCAAACAAGGTAGGAGCAACATAAACATGTTTTTTTGGCCAACTATCTGTAACGGCGGCCAGAGGAATAGCGACGCCATTTCCTTGGGTCGCTATCCATGAGCAAACCATGACAGAAGCAAGAACAGCCCCAACCAACCCCAAGGCACGCGGAGGGTCGGTTGATCGACCATGCCCGTAAGTTGTTCGACCGTAGCGACGAAACTAGCTTCCTCCAGTTCCTGCGGATGTTAGTAAGTGAACTATGATATTTAAACATCTCCGGGCCTACTTTCTCGAAACGAAGCTTCTCCTTTTCAGCCAGCAAGGCGCGTAACATCCAGGCGCGTTTCCGCAGTCCAGAGGTTTCAGGCGCGTCGCCAAGGCGGCGGCGGGGGAGTTCTGTTATATCCGCATTTATGGCGGGATCGTTCCCCGCAAGGGCTACACCCGTCCCAGCCTGCTATGGCTGTCTTCAGCAAATGTCAGAGATGCGCTGAATCGTGGATGCTGCATACAGCACCCAGGGACCCAAGGATGAATTTGTCGTACGCATTCCAGCAGTAGAATAGAACTTCGTCCGCATTAGCTATCAATGCGCACAACAGTCGAATTGTGTATAGAGGGTGGTGCCTCTCCACGCAATTGAGACGGAAATCCCTGTACGCAATCTTGGCCTTTGGGTCTGCGCACAGCACCCAGGGATCTATAAATGAGCTCGTAGTACATATTGCAGAGGAGACTAGGGACTATAGTAGGGTGGTTCAAAATGAGGCACAGCCCATCGCACGAAGTCAGCCTCAGAGACGTGGGGTACGGCAATCGGAAGAAAAAGAAGGTGAAAAAATTTGCGCTAACGGCAAAAAGATACACGTACGGAGGGCTGGAACGCATCACAGTCAGACAGCATCGGGAGGGCTGCGGCCGGGTCCGGCAAGCTAAGGGCGGGGAGAGCGGTGAGAAGTTGCGAAAATGGCAAACGATGTGCGTACTAAGATTTGGATCGCATCGAATTCAAGGTATCGCGGGGGGCTGTGAAACAATCTGAGGGCAGAAAGAGTGAACAGGAGTGTTGTAAATGGCCAGATGTACGCACTTGGAGTGCGTCCCACTCGGAGGCTACCGGCCAACGGCAGGATCGCAGGCGGTAGTCAAAGAGTCTTGCTGAAATAGATTGGGTCCCTGCACTGATATAGTCTTTCGAGTCTTGCGGTCGCCCAGGCTCACGAATCGCATCTACGGTGTCAGGAAATGAGACTCCTGAACGGCATGCGATGTCGAACTGACACATTTCCATTGCGGGGGGCACGGAATCGCGACCAACGGGATTTTTCCACACGACCGACGCAAAGTCTGGTCAGAGACGCCGGATGGCTGCCCCAGGTCCATTGGTCGAGACAGCGTAGGTCAGCGCTACAGAACGGAGGGCCAGCATGCATCGCCACTAGCTTAGTCATCATTAGTGAGCGGAGTTTGAATCGCACATACCAGTCGGTCCGGATCCTCCGCTGGCGCATCGACTCTCGTCGAAGTGTGTACTTTGATTTGGCATATCCTACTATACATAACAGTTGCATTCAGAATCAATTGTTCGTACATGCCCCGGAAGTAAACACAGCATCCACGCTCTCGCGCAAAATACGCAAGACGCGATGGCTACAGTGTGCCCATCCGTTTCAAAGCGTGGAGGCGACGGTGGACCGGGTGGGAGGCAGGAGTTGCGATCGGCGAGGTGGGCGCGTATCTGGAAGGATGCACGCTGGTAGCGCAGCGCAATACGTCGGAGGGGAGGCCCCCGAGTCACAGAGCAGTGGCTGTAAGAAATAAACAAAAAAGCGGGTAAGTGAGAAAGCAAGACCCACCGATACCCCTCTCGTCTGTATACCCTGCCAAGTTCGTGTCTAGCTCCGGACCGAGCTCGTCCTCGTCAAGGCCCAGCGGGGCCGAATCCGACGCGGCGAACACGGGCGGTGACAGCGCGACACCATCCATCTCCTCCCCGCGCACCTCGCCCTTGAGCGCCGCCAGCCACGCATCGTCCCCACCACTACACCCTCCCCGTACGCGGCATACGCGTAGTCGGACGCATGCGCGTACGACGGACACGCCGGGCAGGCGAGGGGCGGGAGCGACCCGGTGTCACAGGTGAGCATCGAGGGCACGTAGGGCCGCGTATCAAGATGGGTTAGCGAGCAGAAAGGGTTGTGCGGAGGACGCACCGTGCGTAGATTCCGCCGGGAACACGGCGGAGTGCGTTATCTCGTGGGCAACGTGTCGTCTTGGATGTGAAGGAGGTGGACGCGGGCATTCGTAGCGCCGGGGGACTGGAGTTAGCGCGTGAGAGTAGCGAGAGGGGAAGGGACATACCGCACACCACAAGCACAGTGTGAAACCACACACGCGCCCGCAATCGCATTGGCGTGCTGTGTCTACACGTGCGGCTGAAATGGGAGACGGCGGATGTGAGCGGGAGGTCGGGGACTGCTTGGGGAAGAAGGCGGCGCAGCGGTGCTGGGACAGGTGTGAGGGCAGCGGTGCGCGCGGGCTGGATCCAAGTCCCTGGTCTTGGCCCGCTCCATTTCGTGGTGATCCATGCACCTGGGCTGGGTAGTAAAGGTAGCAGGGGAGGGTACGAGTAGGGTACGGAGGTGGACGACGGTGTTGTGCTGAAGAGACGTGAAGTCAGCACTTGATTGAGCTTTGATTGAGTTGATCTGATGTCGGATTGAAACTCCGCTTAGTATCGAGATTTCTTGTTTCCTGCCTCTTGGAGCTTTTTAAACAATTAAATAGCTAATTTTGAGTATCTTCAGCTCTTTATTCAGTATCGAGCCGGCACCTGCCGCTGTGGCTGAGCAAGCTTGGCAAATCTCATATCCAGCACGTGTAATATTTTAGTATCTTTATTATCTTTTTATTATTATTTTAGCCCACCGACATCCCAATACCTCATCAGCGTCCACCAGCATCTCAGACTCCTGCTCTCCAAGGCTCGCGTCGCCCGTGCTCTCCCTCCGTTCTGTGGCGCTGAACTACCCTGCCTCGACCCATGGACCTCGGGCGGCCATACGGCGCCTCTGACCAGACTTTGCGTCGGTCGTGATTCCTTGCTGCTGTCGCGGAAATGCGTCAGTTCCACATCGAATGCCTTCCCGAGTCGCCATTCTCACCTGCTGGCACTGTAGATTTGATTCACGAGCCTAGGCTATCAGAGGACTCGAAAGACCACATCTGTTCCAGCAAGACTCCTCAACCGCCGCCTGCGATCCTGCCGAGGTCGGTAGAGTGCGCATGTCTTTGGCCAGAGCAGCACTCTTGCTCACTTTTCCTGCCCTCAAGTTGCTTCACGGCCCCCCCTCCCTTGAATTCCATGCGGTCCAAATCCTAGTGCGCACATCGTGTACCATTTTTGCAACTTCTCATCACTCTCCCTGCCCTTAACTTGCCGGGCCCGCTCGCAGCCGTCCCGATCCTGTCTGACTCTGATGCGTTCCGTCCGCGTATCGTTTGTCGTTGGCGCAACTGTTTTTAAGCATCTCTTACTTCAGATTGCTGTACCCGGCGCTCTCCGTGGCTGACACTTCGCGTGATGGGCTTCCTCCTGTCTCGTCTTGAATCACCCTACTGCACCCTAGTCTTCTCTGGAACATGTATTACGAGTTCATTTATGGATCCCTGGGTGCTGTATGCAGTCTGACATATGTGCACGGCGATTCTGTCTCAATTGCGTGGAGAGGATACACCACCCTCTCTACGATCCACACAATGTCCCGTTGTCCGCATTGATGGCCAATGCGGACAACGAGCTCCGTAGAACTACTGTAAGTACTTGTATGTAGGCAACCGCCCCTCTGACCGTGACATCGCCAGCAGCTTGCAGCAACGCAACCATCCCAATTTTCACCGTGACTGTTGAAATTTCAGCAACGAACAACATTCAACTTAGCCTTAATTCTGGCCGAAAATGTGTTTTGAAGCTCTTATTCTGCACAGACACAGTGGAGGAAGTGATTTGGAGACTTTATGTGGTTTCCGAGTTGGCTTTGGGGCAAAATAATAATATTTTCCGCATGTCACGGTATCAGACAAGGCAACCGACCTCATCGTGACCGTGACCAGAGGGGATTTGGGCAACGCAACAGACCCAATCGTGGCCGTGACGGCTGCCTACATACAAGTACTTACAGTAGTAGATATGCGGTGTTCTCGCCTACGCTATCGCGTGGCGACGTAGGACAGCGGAGACGCATAAAATATTCATATGTGCACATGCTAGCGTTCCTGCCTTCTGTTCCCGCTGTTCGCGCTCATCCCTCTCCTCACTTTACCATCCACTTTGTCCCAATGGATTCTGGCTGTGTGCAAATGCTGAACGCGAGGTCGTGACGTATACCGGTCCGCACGCCGCTCCCAAAGTGGCAATGGCAATGATGGAGACAAAGACAAAGACCATCCACCTCTTTCTCAGCAATTCCAAGCCTCCAAGCCATTTCTCGATATCTCTCATGTCCCCTCTAGCTCAGCTTACCCGCCTGGCCGAACAGCTACCACCTCGCCTCGCCGATGCTCTGTTCCAGCGTTCGTATAATGCACTATGCGATCAGGAGGCTGACATCAGGACATGCCCACACGCTGAATTCGAGTCGCGTCTCTCGGAAATGGGCGAATATCTTAACGCAGATGATATCCCGCCTGCTGACTCCCAACATCATGGGTGGATCTTTGATCTCTCATTTATTGCGGCAGGCGCCGTCCTTCATATTCTGACCCGCTCATACAACTCCGATTTGCCCTCCGAGCACACAGTGACAAAGTACATGATTCATTCATGGCCCAGAATATGGCGCTGGGTGCAGTGCTTCGAGCAACTGTCTTTG